TTGTTAACGCCCCACGTACTATATATGATAACGTGCAACAACATGCGCACGAAGGGCACTTATTGTTAGAGAAGGCACTTGCCTTGTATTCCCACTTACGTTCTACCTATGTATGATTAATTTCATCTCTGTTTAACTTACTTTTTATCTTTTTCTAGCTTTAAGAATTTGATAAAGATAAAGAAGTAAATAAACCGAGATTAAAGTTAATCTATATATATTGATAGAAATAGACATTAAAAATATTTGCGATGATCGTCCCGATATATTTAGAAAACTGAAAGTTACTCTATGAACTCGAATAGAAAGAAATACAAATGAAGGAAGACTGGAAGATGCTTCTTCATATTGATATAACGGCAACGCTGAGGAAAATTGTTATATATTATAATTCCCTGTTGTCGACCTGCTATTAAATTCTATTAATTCTCCCGATAGTACATTAACCTCTTGTTCTCACCTCTGGCGCTGAGAGCGATGAAGGTCTGCGCGTGCCTCCGGACCATCACAGTGTCACAGGTGTGTGGCATCGACAATCTGCTGAGAATGTGCATTAGGAAGTCTCCAGGCGTCACCGCGGATAGTTCCCACTTCAGCTTCGAAACGACCAACTGCTCCCACCTCTGCAATGAAAACGAGACAGATGTCGTTCGATTAACACCTCGCAATTAACACCGTTCATGCGAAAGGTGCGTTAAAAAGAGAAGGTAATATGAACAACAATCTATAGGTGTTACAAAATTCTGATCAGCTCGTTATTTTCCTCGTTATTAAAAAAATATAGAGAGAGAGTATTGCAATTATTTCTTTTTTATTAAAATTATCTGACGTAAATATCAATGCAGTTCCAATTATATTACAAGAAGAAGTTTAATCTGAGACACATAAATGTTTATTTGTGTCAATGTAACGAATACATTAGTGTAATAAATAAACATTTATGAATATATTTATGCAAAAGTGTTGTAATTGTTCACGTTATTTATCTTCCATAGTTTTCCACAACGTGTACCGTTACGATATGGGACATGACGCGTGTATTATTATAGTAACGTGGTTGTCGGCAGATACCTACGAATAATCGCAAGAGATTCATCGGAGAACCGTTAGATCTTCCTTTTTTTTACGAAAAGAAGTGGAGCAGTCTGTTTCATTATAACTATAGTAAGAAACGCATGACCCGAGTCCCTTTAAACACGAGAGAGCATTAAACCATCTTTAATCGTCGATAATTATACAGGTACGGCGACGACATCGTCAAAATTCAGCCTTGATCTCTGTCTCAAGTGTAGAATACGAGAAAGAAGGAGGAAAGAGAGAGGGAAAAGAGAGAAACAAGAGAGAGACAAAGAGTCTATCCTTTCTCTAGCGAGGCTACTACGTCCGCTCTTTCGAGTACGTCGTAGTACCCCCGTTCTCTTTCGACCGTGAAATTACATGGCGGGAGTAACGCGCGACGAGTACTACGTGTCCTTCGTCTTGATCAAAAGTCCATTGAATCCGGCTCGCCTCCTATCGCTCAGCTGTGACGAAACCGAGCAACGTGACTCCGTTTCAAGCACGAGAGAGCATATTGCGGAGGATCTTTTGAGCGATAAGAATAAAGAGTATACATTACTATAATAGATATTATATTTGTAATATATGCACTAACGAGTAATTAAGGATGCGTATACATTATGCATCATCATGCATTTTTATTTATGCTACGGTAACTTTTGCTTATAAGGAATATAGGTACGTATAATATATTTATGAATTTATCTACACTTTTAAATTATAAAATAACAAAAAAATTGATGTAATATTTTCCGACGTTAAAACTATTTTGTAAAATAATTGGAGAATGTAAATATGTAACGCAGTTTTATTTAATTAATTTAAAAATTTCCTTGTTCTCTTTTTATTATATGCGAAATACAATATCTACATAACAGAATTAGTGATTTAATTTTATAACCAGGAACTGTAGCTTCAACGGGAAACGGAAACTATTAAATGTTCACATAAGTTTAAAAGGCACGTATTAATGTTGATCATGCTACAATACAATGAATATTTCATGTGGTTTTCGTACCCACTCTGGATGATCTATAATTCATACAGAAATTAGGAACATAGAATCCTATAAATATAATTTCATATGTCGTGTTTCTGTGCATGTGCGTATTTTGATATGTATCTTGTACATATATATGTGTTTCTTCAAACGTTTTCTTTTTTTTGTATTTCACACATAGAAACAGGTAGAATTACATCCTAACTTATAAATTGATTATTATAGTTCGTAGAATAAATTTAATTACAGTTTTTCAGCATATTAACATCTTTATAATATGATGCCTGATTGAGCAAAATTATTAAAATTACTTGTCAATTTATATATAATTCGCGAGTTTACTACAGTAGTTTAATTGCGTTTATATAGTCTGGAAAAGAACTTCGGCGCGCAGTTCGAAAGACTACAAATATGGTATATATGCAAATACATATATACGAGTATATTTAGTAATTCAAAATTGAATTATTTAAGCGTTAAAGATCCAGCTTCGACCGTTATAGGCATTTTAATATTGATTGTGTTCTCACATAAACGGTCTAAAATAATATTGATTATTATAGGATTCACTATATATCAAATAATTAAGCTTTGCAAAAATTATCAGCTATAAACTAGCTGACCGTTTTGTACGACAAAAGATAGCTAGTTATATCATTAATTATATATAACTACACACAGAAGACATAAATGTCAAGATGCGATTATACAGTAAAAGTAAAACCAATTACACAAAATGCAAATTTGTGTTAGAATCACATTCTGAGCGCGAGGGAAACAGAAGTAAAGTGATCTGTCCGTCGTCGTTGTAATCGCGTACGAGTCAAATTAAAGTCCTCGTCAAATGAAAGAGGATGTGCGCTCGAGGGAAGACACAAACCGAGGGAGTCCCTCTCTCTCCTCTCCACGGCTCATTCTCATCCTTGAAGGGGTTCCGCGCTCGAGTGCGTGCGTGCGTACGCTCGCCATTCGCGCCGGCTCTTCTCTCGTACGTTGGTTGTCGGTGAATGAAACAAAGGCTTGTACACACCGAAAGGATAGGAGAGCCGACGACGTAATGACAGCGGCGATGTGTAAGCGCTGTTACTCTGTTAGGCAGAACGGGTCCCGTCATATTGTGTCCTACTTTCGTTCCTTGATGCAATTTTTCCCTTTGGTGAAGCACCTTATTTAATTTTAATAGCGTCATTGTCTGTTAGCAGGTAAATCATGTGACTTTATCATTCTCTTATATAATTATTTTTATTACATTCTGTCATGTTGCTCTCTCGGTTTTGATTAATACCACGGAGAGAATTTTTTCTTAGAGTTTACCCTAAAAATATGATAGTCGTGGGACAACATTATATTTTGAAGAATTTTATGTAAATCTCTCTCATTCATTAATAAAACTACAATAAAATATAAAATAAATTTGATTAATTTTATTAAAGTGCATGGTAAAAATTTTTTAAATATTGTATTGTACCGCAACTACCATATTTTCAAGATAAAAATTTAAAAAAAAATTCTCTCCATGTACATATATTCAGCCCTTTGTTGCATAATTTCGTATTATCCATATTTATTTAAAAAATGACATTTACTGTGAGCTATAATACATATCATAAAATCTTTATTGTCTCATCATTAATTATAACTTTCTTTTGTACCTTAAAATTTTTCTGTACCTTAAAATTTGACGCAGTTACACGTCACATCTACAAAGTCAATAATCAATAATTCATGGGGATAAATATTTGTATAAATATTTATGATATGTTATGACGCGTTGTTTGATCTGCTTGGCAGATATTATACATGTAAAACGCTCCGCGCGACGATGCACATCCCGCCCGTCACTCGTCTCAGAGTGCACTCACGGCGCGTGCACGTACGCACGCATGCACGCGTGTTACAATATGCGTATGTACATGTAACGTAACGACGCGTAATGATTCACGAAGGGGGATAATTGCCGAACGCGATCGGCGACGATAAGCGTGCCCGGTGTCGCGCGTCATTCTGATAATAAAGTAGACGCTCGATGTATTCACCCTCCACCTATGCGACACAACCATACTAATTTCCATATTACGTTAAAGTGCATTATTATATTACGCATGCGTTGCATGATGTTGCAGGAGTCTCAGGCAACGCTGCAACGATATCTAATTTTTGTCAATTCATCAATTATCGTTAAGTGCGGCTCTTCGTATCTCCGAAGAACTTCTCGAGAAACATTAAGAATTCACGAATCATCGTTGGATTAATATTCGTACTCCGAAACCATTGGAGTTTCGTAGAACCAGATTCATTATCTTTGGCAATCGATGATAATCTATATTCGCGTCCATAGTGTTGGGATTTCCGTTCCCTATTAGTGTGCATTATAAATCGATACTCGGCATCCAATGACAGGATCAAGATAAAAAAAACGAGAAAGGTACAGGATGGAGGGTAAAAAGATGATACCGAAGTATATCATGGGTCATGGGAAAGCAGGTGGCAGCTAGATGACGCTTTCACTTTCTCTTCCTACCTTTGGGAATCGCCCTTAGGAATTCAAATGATCCAAATGTACTTCACAATCGATGTACAACCTCCATAAGGGTGCAATTATATATATATTTTTTAATTATATACAATATTTAATAAGGCAACATATCATTCATAATCTGTAATTCTAATTCTAACGGAATTAATTTCGCACGCAATTTTATAGATATTTGTACCTTCAACCGACCTACTTAACTCACCGTCACCTGATTATCGTTATCTATAATAAGGTCGTAGCATAATTTTCTCAATAATAATACAATTTGCGCAGTTCTTATCATAAAATATGAGTCATGCAAGTGCAAGGACAATTGTAGCACTTAAGTACTAATGACTCAACTTACGAATAATTCGTATATAATTATCACGAAGGTATTTCTACTTAACAACTTAATATTATCCAGTCTATAGTGTCAAATGTACGGTATTTGTACGGTAACTTGTTAATACGCCCGAGTCTCTCCGCCAAGAATATCCAGGTACGTTCCAATCCATTAATTATATTATCGTTAAGCGTCTCTAAAGAACTTCTCCAGAAACAATAAAAATTTGTGACTCATCGGATTAATATTCGTATCCGTTAGAGTTTCGTAGAACTAGATCCATCATCTACGGCGATCGATAAAATCTGTATTCGATCGTGGCCCTGAGATTTCCATTCCCTAATATTTATTATGTATGTTATACCACGTCGTTAATTCGCAAGAATGCTCACTGTTCGGGATTGTAACAAATTCGTGGCCAATTCTTTCGAAAACGAAGCGAATCAGAATATTAAAGAAAATATTCTGACTCGTTTCGTCTTCAAAAACAGCTGAATCAATTGTTTTCTACTTTGTGTAGGAAAATGAATTTCGTAGCGTTCGGACTTATCTTAATTTGTTGCCATGTTTGGGCGAATGAGAACAACAATAATTGTAAGTAGATACTTGTATTTTTTCTCCTCTAATATTTTTCTGAAGATGTATCGAACAGTATTTCTCTAGAAATGTGTTGTCCTTACAATTAAAGATTTTACGACAACAGTGGGCTAAAATCCATATTTGATAAAAGCAAAAAAAAACGAATTTTGAAGTTGAAGTGACGAAAGAAGTATATTTATTTGCACATTGTTACATTATCAGTCCACTGTTGTAATAAAATCTTCGAATGATATCAAATTCTATCTCTGTCTATTTTTAAACGATCCATTTTTCAATATTCTATTTATTAGCTGTCTGTTTTTGACCTCTTTCGGGAAGAAATTTGATAGACATTTTACATTTTAGACATTATACCTATTTTTTAATAAATCTATTTATGAATGGTTAATGTTTGTACAATTTTTTGCGGTGTATTTCGTATTTATGTCACTTTCCGCACATAGATCTTTCCGTACCTCATTAATTTTTTTAAATTTTCTTTTTTTAATAATAATATTCTATCAAAAAAATATTATCAACATTGTTATTATTCAATGTTAAATATCAACATCGTTCGAACTCCTTATATTAATATATGTCTGTATATATTCTATTTATTTTTATTGTTTCTATATGCTCTGTAAAAATTCTGTTTATTTTAATTGTCTCTATATGCTCTGTAAAAATTCTGCGTGTAATAATACCTTAATTATGCTTTCTTGCATTTATATTTTAAGTATTCTTGTCTTTTATTGTCTTGTTTACTGCTCGAGTATCATCTATTCGTGTGGTTTATTTAACAAGATACGTTTTCTTGTATAGTCACATTTCTATAAATCGTAACTTGTAACTCGTTTCATTTTCTGGAAGACTTAGTAGCAGTACTTTTGCTGGTGCCTCACCATTTGTGTATACTCTGCAATCTCTTAATACACAATAAAATAAATAATAATAATAATAATATGTTAAGCACTAGTTATATATGACGCATATGTTTAGTTTTAGTTAGAGGGACTTACCAGCAAAACACATCGTTAAAAGATTACCTCGAAAATAAAGTAAAACCCATCATGCAAAATGGAGATAATACGCTTGGAATTCCGGTTCTTGATCCGTTCGTTACGGATAAACTGTGTCAGTTTAGTTTTTAAAGAAATACGTTGACTGCCAACACGTTAAATTAATAATATACTCATCCTTAGGTCAACAAAAGATATTATCATGATTATAAACTTTTAATCAATATCTTTTACTTTGTTATCTTCTAAATTGTTGTCATTTTATTCATGCAGTAGATTATATACACTCTCTCTCTCTCTCTCTCTCTCTCTCTCTCTCTCTCTCTCTCTCTCTCTCTCTCTCTCTTAAAGAGAGATATATTTTAAAAATACAGTTTTTGGCCAGACGAAATGTTTTAATTTAACGTGAATCGCGTATGGCATGGTAGTCAACGTATTATAAACGATACTTCATTATTAGATATCATATAAAGAACAAAGTATAAACATCTTCGTCATGTCTCCAGTTTCGGGTTTTTGTCAAACGTCAATGTAACTGGCTTGTCCGCGTTTGAAATTAACGACGCTGACTTCAATCTACTTAATTTGGTGTTCAACCTCGACCTAAACTGGCCATCGATAATCGCAAGAGCCAATTATTTTATCAACCGAAACAACAATACCGAAATTAATGGAAAGGGAGGAACAGAGTAAGTATTTGATTCATTTGAGAGAATTTAATTACTATATTTCAATGAATTCGTGATTTTCCAATATCTATAATACGCGAAAAGGAATCTTGCTGCCAATTTTTGCGTTTCATTTATTCGCCAGTAAAAGACAAAAAGAAATCTAAGCTTTAGCGAAAGTATGTTAGGGTTTCAATCATTATAATTTTATAATATATGATTATTATAATAATATTCAATATTGTAATTATCATTTATACACAGTAGACCTCCGTTTATCTGTACTCCATACGAACAAATTCGTATTCAATACAAACTTATCTTCCAAATGATCTCAAGCTACGTAATTTGGATAATAGAAGCTTGACTTCAGTTTACTGAATGTCAACTCTTATTATCGAAACTAATATACTGATAAAAGGAAAGGTTAGTGAGCCTCTATTATCCAAACTATTCGATTATCAGAACTATCTTGTCCCCTGACATGTCAGATAAACAAAGTTCTATTCTGTGTGTCGCGCGCGCACAGAGACGATCACAATATATATATATATATTAAATAAGTAAAAAACTACAGATGCAGAGAGAAAAAGTCGGTGGTCTTTCCTCGTAAAGAACGTTTGTTTTTGATTTCATTTCATCTGTATATTTAACTTGAATGCACTTGAAATATGCAGTGAAAAAAAAATGAGAATTGGAATGACTGACAATGGGCCTATTCTTTTTAACCGAACTTCTTGCATAGTTCTTTTTTTCTCTTTTTTTCATATTAAGGGAAAAAGAGAAAAGATAAACTGCGCGAAGTTCATTTAAAAAGAACAGATCTAATGAGTTAGCAGTTTTTTATTTAACGTTTTCACGACTTTATCTGGTGATGCCAACTGTGACAAGGCTCATTATTAAATCGTGATTGAATTATATGCTTCGTGCAAAACATGCCGATCCCGCTCAGTAGAATTTCCCTAATAAGAATTAGGATACTTCTCTCGTGCGCGTCCGCCATTAATAGGGAACGAGCGTGTGAGATAGAGTGAGAAAGCAGCGAGCTATTTTACTGTCTTACACTGAGAGAAAAATGTATCAAGTTTTAATAAAAATTTTATTTCTGATTTATTGTATATTCATATTAACGGTCTCAAAAGATACTGTATTTAATATTGTTAATAAAATTTGAATCGTTCCAGTTAAATATTTATGAAATGTAAATATATATTTTTTTGGTACAAGAATCATTAATTTGATTTAACTATTATATTTTTTCTTTAACAAATACTTATTTTCCATAAATGAATGTTATATTAGTACTAATCTCAAATAATTATTTATTAAAATTTAGTACATTTTTTTCGGTGTACTTTTCTTCTCTCTTTTTCTCATGTCTTTTCCCTATTATATATAGTAGATTTAACAAAAGAGAATACGCTATATCCTAATTTTTATTAGAGAAACTCTGATTATATTTAAAATTTTAAATAATTTTATTGTCACATACTACTTTATAATTAAGTTTAAAATTACAACAAGACACATTTTCTATCGATAATTTTTTTTAAATAAAAATTTGAGATCGTAGAAAATTTAAAGTTAAGAAAAGATATATTTAATTTTCAGTGTAGCCGTGAAGGACTTCAAATTTACAATTCTCGTTAATTTTAAAGTAGAGAGTGGAAAAATCCAAATTAACGAAATCAAAAAAATGTTTATTGGCTTGGGAGCATTTGACGTAAGTAAATATTGTAAGTAAATATTGTAAGCTACAAGATTGTCAATTTTTTTTGCCTTTTTGATCGTGATCACGAATCGCACCTAACGATTAAACTGTTGCAAAAATATCGTACATAAAATAAATCACTTTACGTTAACAATCTTTAAATAATTTCTGAGAAAACAAAATATATATAATTAAAAAAATTCTTTTGATAATTTTCATATATCTCTCAAAACGAAGAGTTCTTATGTAAACTTATACTATAAATTTTTTCTATAACATCACACATATTTAATTTTAAAAAATCATAAAAAGTAATTTAATAAATTCGTAATATGTTGATTAATTTCTAGATTACATTAGTTGTTATTCAAGGAAATTGCTATTAATTATATTGTCACATGCTTTTCACATATAAAAAGGCGATTCAATCGTACTTGCAGAGAAATGAATCCTTTGCAAACAGCATTATGGAAAAAACTAAAAAATCTACAACTCATTTAACTGAAAAAATTATTATTGAATTCCCAGAAACTTTTTGATTAATAAGTATATATTTATATGTCCAACAAAATATATTTAAATAATAATGTAGACGGTAAAAAGATTAGGCAATTAAAAAATAAAATAAGTTGATTATGACTGAAAAGTCGGTTAGTTTAATCATTTCTACAAAAATTGATTTAAATTATCTACGTTTTGATAAATTTATTTTAATTGGAAAAATCACAACAAATTTGTAGCTGAAATTATCGGAGTTCAACATTTTACATGTAATGAAAGCCGTTATTTAAGTCATTATAACGTCTCTCATTTCTTAATCAGAATGTATATGAATGTAACTGTAATTACATTTTTGTCATAATTTTCATTTTTTAACAAAATTTTCTTTCCTGTCGTTCACAGTTTCACGTGACGGGCCTCTACAAAGATGATAAAAAGAATGTGGATTTGAGCAAAATGATCTCTGATACTGTGTTTAAACTGATCAATACGAATCAAGTGATTGCGAAGACTGTTATGAATATCATCACAATGATTTTCAATAAATCTGTGGCGATCTCTAATTAACTCTAATAAGTTAATTTAATTAATTAGTTAATCTAATGAAGTTAATTTAAAGATATTTACTACTATAAAATATCTTTTTGTCATACCGATATTACGCTATTGTTTGATTAATCACTTCTGCAATCGCGATAGATTCCAGTCGAAACGATACCGGTATGATAATACAGTTAAAGAGTGTTCATTGATAAAATTGGCAAGAATAAAGAATCCTTAATAAAGTTCGTTTTGCACTAAATTTATTTCTGCAATGTGCCGATAAAATCAGTATTATGATCAAGCGTGAAAAGAGCGCTTTTTTCTCTATAATAAGATTCCTGTTTCATTCTTTGTGGCATTTTTGTACTAGGTAATATTAAAAATGGAATACATCATATTTTCAATATATGTATATAATAAAATATAAAAAGTAAAAGAAGAAATATATCTTATACGGAATGTCCTAAAATTCACAATACTCTGGCAAGGAAGTTCCTGGAAAATTAAGTAAAAAAATTATTTATAAATTTTTATTTTAAGCAGTAATTTTTGAGATAATAAGGGTTTAAATACAGCTAATTACAGACTACATTTTAGACAACCACCTGTCCATGGCGTGCAAGTTTAGTGACTGTTGGTGAACGATCATTTCAGCGTGCTCACTAATACTTACAGGTGACTATCTAAATGTAGCATATAATTGGCCATATTTAAATCATTATATAATGATGTAACTTCAAAAAGAATGTACTTCAAAAAATATTGCTTAAAATAAATATTTACAAATAATTTTTTTATTTAATTTTTTGAAAACTTTCCTGTTATAGTATTTTGAGTCGCAAATTTTGGAATATTCTGAAAAAAAAATATACATATATATGTGTATATATATGTATACATGTATATATATATATATACTCTCCATAAGAATTTTTAAAAATATAATTTACATTTTTTAAAATAATGTTAGTGGTTTGATTATCTCAATAGTATTTTCCGGATGCTTAATTTCTTAATTAATATATTAGATAAAATTATGGATATTGCATAATTATGGTACATATTATGCACACTTGTGTAATTATGCTAGATGTCTTGCGTTACCATAAAAGTATGAAAAAATCTTCACGGCGCTTTACATTTGCATTTCCGGTCTGCAAATTTATGATCGTTCTCCATTCACGGCGGTATCGATGGCTAGGTCAATAACTAACGATCGATCGGCGGGGAAAATGCGGTACGTTTATGCGTCCCATTCATGCATGCGCGCGCGCGTCCATGCGATCATGTTCGCACGGTTTTGAATCGCGCACCTCGGCGTCCCGCTTTCCTGAGCGTGAGAAAGATAATCCTGACACATATGTGACTCGCTCCTTTTTTATAATATTTGATGCGCGAATATCGTGACACAGGAAAACGAGATAGTACGTCGCGATAGCGTCTCATGAGCGAGAACGCGTATAATTACGATGATTAATCGTAATTACCGCGTATCCACGTAGTTCCGTCGATGTGGAGCGTCGTCTCTTTTTTTTTTCTGTTTCTTCATCTGGCTCGCAGGGCGTCCAGATGATGTTGGTTTCGGCTAGTGGGTGGTGAAATCGCTGACAGGTGGTCGGCGAACACGCGAAGGGATCGAGAAAAGAGTAGCGGAAGGGATGCGAGAAAATCGTTTTGTGATCTTATTTAAAGAATGATGCTTCTCAACTTTTTTTTCACACATGTAGTTTAAATTAGGTTGAATTTGAATTACAATTACCACGGATTTCGATCATAAGAAGGTGAATAAAAAAATTGAGTTAGCCGAGTTCTTTGCAGAAGTGTGCCTAGAGCAGCGGTACAAGAACAATGGAGCATCAAACGGGAATAGGAAAAGATCGTGGAGGTAGGGCCCCGTTGTACTCGTGCCGCGCTACCTGGTCGATTCCGAGAAGCAGGGGCCTGCCGATTTATCTGGTTCGCAATGAGGAATCGATACGAGGCGAAGCTCTAGAGCCGCAAAAGGCCCGAGAATAGCGGTTTAAGAGACGCAGGGTATCCAGGTGATATTTCTTCGACATCGTACCGCAAACAGCATAATTACAAGGTATATTTCAATGAAAAATTGCACGAAGAAAGTTTCAATATATCGAAATTGTAGCTGATAATTACTTTCTTAAATAAAGCGTATTAATTATATGAATTATTTATTGTAAAAATGTAGCTTATGTATTAATTCAATGAAATATAATTTCGAGAAAACTACTTTTGAAACGAAATTTTTTAAATCATGAAGATTTTTGCTCCATCATTATTTGATGTTTTAAATGTTACTGCAAAATTGTTTTGATACGGTGTGATAGTCTCACAATATCTTCCAGATAACACGAAATAAATTTATACATATTTAAACATGTACTCAATTAACATACAATTTAATACATCTGATCAAACTTGGCGTTCAAAACAATATAATTAGAAAACATTATAATAAAATATGATCAATGAAATTTCATCAAAGTCGTTTAGATTTTTTAATAAAATTGTATCTGTACGATTCCTATTGCTAGCCTCGAAAAATTCTATTAGTGCGGAATCCCACAGGTGGTTAAAGAGCCGAAAGAGAACGGGGGAGGAACTGAAAGGAAAGGAGACGGCAGGGCGGTGCAGGATCGAAGGGCAGTGCCTGTGAGCAAGGTGTTTACCATTCTGGCCAAAAATAAAGTACAAAGGCCAGATTCCCTCTTGGCATAACTGGCAACAAAAACCAGAATCACCGTCCATGCATTCCTCGAGCCTCGCCATTGGCGTGGCTCGACTTAGGCTGCCGCGATTAGGCAAAAGGCCAGCAATAAGTGACATTTCTACCTGCGACGAGTTTTCTGCAGGTAGATAAATTAATAGATAGACGGTATCTTCTTTCTAGGTCGAAGATCATCTGAGAACACCCAGACTAAACTGGATATAAGAAGAAAAGAAAGATTATATGATATATGATATATGATATACAAAAAAGTTTAAGTCGAGGTAAGTATACGCAAATAGAAGAAAAGAATATAAAAAAGATGAATATCAATATGTAATAATAATAGTGCACAACAACTGTTACATTGTAATATATTAAATTAAAAACGCAAATGAATTAATATATATAAATCTTATAGACAATTATATATAATTTTTAATAGTGATATTTAAATTTTATTCTCATATACATGTCTTTATCATGTGTTGTACATCTCATGTGCAGCAAATTTAAAAAACCGTTTTATATAATTTAACCTTTTGCGCAAAGATACAATTTTAACGCCGACTCCGTTTACCAGCCTTTAACCTAATCACGCGTCTCGCGGTCGATCGCGCAGATTCGGTGGTCGCCGCCAACACAAAGCTAATTATGGGGAACGCCGATAGCCGAAAATTCAACGTCGGGTCCCTTGTGCCGAGAGAGAAAGGAGAAGCGGGTATCCACTCTACGAGCCCCCTCGAAGGACCCGGAGAGATCCGATTTAATTGACGTCGGCTACGCCAATGAGGCTGGCTCTTCTCGAGGTTACTTCCAGGAACCGCCTTTTGCGGGACACATCTGCTCCGGTTACCGGAGCATACCCCGGGTCCTTTTTCGCACATAAGAAACCTCTCTTCTTCCTTTCCTCGCCTCGACTGGAACCGGAACACTGGCTCCATGGCCGCCGTCCATCGTGCTTTTATTTCTCCTGCGACCGGCGGGATTTTAATTTTCACAGAAGCCATAAGAGCCCACCGGCGATTTAATGAATTCGCAATTAGTCCAAGATCGGAATACTAAGCCGCGGATTAGGCAATAAAACTTGAATTAGATATATATCTTCAGTCGACAAAACTTGTGGATAGCTCAATCGGGATTTCTGAGACTTGGTATGGTTTAGATCTTTCAAGACTCTGAATTATGGTTGCTATAATAACTGTACGAGGCTTTTTCCTCTCTGTTATCAATAACCCGTTTCTAATCCGCCTTTTAATTTTTACCAAAGCCATAAATTCACCAGCGACTGCGCGATTCATTAAATATATAGTCATCGTCAAATTTTTTATTTTTTTGCCATCAAAAATATTATTGTAATATTACAAATATTATTGTGCCGTAAATTTACAAAAATTCTGCTTTTCATTTTACAGAGATGAATGAGTATATCTTTTATAAAAGATTTATATTTATAATAAGAAGATATATCTGGCTAAATTGGAGCACTATTACACCGATAATATCCCACTACTTTTAAAAGACATAACACCGGTTTCGATTTGCCTTCGGTCTGACGTAGCACCGGATGTAACTACTGACTGTCCATTCAGAATGGAGTCTGAGCGTGAGTTCTTAGAATATCATACAAGAAAATGAGATATATATATCATGTTTTATTTTTATCCGTTCATTCATTCATATAGAAATATTTCTATTTTCAATATCATAAAATTAGATATTTATACATAGTATTATAAAATATTATTAAAAATGCAAGAAAAATTAAAAATAAAAGAAAAAATTATTATATTATATTAATAAAAAATCAGGGGATCTCTAAATAAATTAATTGCCGGAAATAACCTATTACCGGAAGGAAGAGATAGATCCGTTCTTGACTTACGACGATACAACTGTTGCGTCAAATATGATTTACGACGTCATCACAAATCTCCATTTGCTCCGTGACATTCGCCTAATAATGTGACTCAAGCAGGCTTAATTAAGGCCCACCAGAAGCTTTCCAGGAAAATATCGATACGCATGTATACCTGGAGTACGGGTACCCGCATGGCAATTAACAAACCAAAAAAATTCGTCTTATTATATATAGCGAGATTAAGAATGGTCAAAACGCGCTCGTCTCACTCGGCGAACACCGTTATAACAAACATCGGGTGAAAGTGCTAAAATAAAGAAAAACAATCGAGGCCCACCTAAGGAACCAAATGGTTAATTTCATATCTAATTGGAAATTAATAAAGTACACGGAGAGAATTTTCTTTTAAAATTTACCCCGAAAATATGGTAGTTGTGGTACAATACAATATTTTAA